TTACATGATCACTACTGAAATACATTAGAAATCAATAATAGAAAGATTTCTTAAAAATTCCCAAATATTTGGAAACTAAGTAATACACTTCTTAATAACCCAGTGGGTCAAAGAAAAAATATGAAAGGAAATTAGAAAGTATTTTGAATGGGAAGAAAATAATAACAGACCTACAAAATTTTGTAAGATTCTCAGAGGGAAATTTATAGCATTAAATATCTTTGTCAGAAAAGATCTCAAATCAATGAACTCAGTTTCCACCTCAAGAAGCTAGAAAAAGAAGAAACTCCATGTAAGCAGAAGAAAGAACATAAATAAAATATCACAGCAGAAAAAAGATAGAAAACAGAAAAATATAAAAAAAATGAATTACTTGAAAGTTGGTTCTATGAGATGACCAATAAAATTGATTAACTTCTAGTCAAATTAATCAGTAAAAAAGAGTAAAAAGAAATGATTAGTATCAGGAATGCAAAAAGGTGTCATCAATACATATTCTACAGATATTGAAATAATAATGAAATACCACAAGCAAATTTAATCTAATAATTCTACAACTTTCATGTAATTGACAATTCCTTGAAAGACAAAAACAAAAGATGACTCAAAAAGAAATATTCAAACCAAATAGCTTTATATCTGTTGTGGAAGTTGAATTTGTATTTAAAAACTCTACTTGTAGCTTCCAGTCAAGATGGTGGCATAGGCAGATATGGCCTGCCTCTTTGCACAACATATCAAAATTACAACCAAAATATAGAACAACCATCACTCAGAATCATCAGAAATCAAGATGAATGGAAGTCTGACAACCACAGAATTTAAAAAAACCACATCTATTGAGACTGGTAGGAGGGGCATAGATGTAGAATGGATTGGTCTCTCACCCACATGTGGTGTATAAAAATTAGGGAGGGATATCTCAGAAATGAGCAAGCCCAGCCACACAGCAGGCCTTCCAGCCCAGGGTTCCAGTGCCAGGAAGATAAGTCCCTACAACTTCTGGCTGTAAAAACCAGTGGGGATTGAGTTGGTGGAAGAAACTGTGGGAATTCCAAGCAGTTACTCTTAAAGAATCCACACACAGACTCAACCTACTCAGATTCACTCCCTCTGAGCTCTAGCACAGGGATGGCAGCTTGAGGGGCACCAGTGGCATACTGGGAGAGGCAGAAGTGCTTGGCATCTAGGCAAGCAGAGGCCATTGTCCAATTTCTGTGCCCTCCCCTCAAATAGCCATGGAGCCAGCAGGCTGGTGCCAATTTGAGACTTCATCAACCTGGCTAACACTGTTTGACCAGCCTTGGAGATCCTCAGAGACTCCACTCCATCCAACTTTCAGGTCCACCGAAGCTGCCTTTCCATATGAATGGTTGGCCTTGGCTCATGTTTCCCAACTTCCCAAATCCTACCAAAGAAGCAACAGCTGGACTCAGTGAGCTCCAGGCCAGGCGCTAGCAACAGCCAGATTAGTTTCACAGCTTGGCTTTATCTGAAAATCTCTAAGCACACCACAAATAGTAGCCCTCTCATGGATCTTTCTAGGTCAGGAAGGGTGACCTCAGGCAAAACACGGGTGGGGGCTGACTTTGGCCTGTACCACTTGGGAAACCCTAGGGCCAGAAAACCCAGTGGACAGATACAGACCACATCAGAATACCACCACTCTGCCCCTTCATAACTCATTCTCCATGGAGGGCAGAGGTTGGTGGTCAATGGTCACAGCCAATCCTTACAGCTGACTGGTCCGAGTAAATCCCTCCCATTGATCTGCCAACAGCAATCAAAGTCCAACTATAAGAGGAAGGTGTACTCAGCCCCCAAGAAGGGCACACCTCGAATACCCAGCTTGGGTGATAGTGGAGGCTGTGCCACTGAACCCTACGGGACACACATTACATTAGACCACACTACAAAGACATGGAGTCAAGGCAGCTCTACCTAATATGTAGAAACAAACACAAGGAGGCTGCCAAAACAAGGATACAAAGAAACATGGCCCAAGTAAAAGAACAGATCAAAACTCCAGAAAAATAGCTAAATGCAATGGAGATAAGCAATATATCAGATGCAGAGTTCAAAACAATAGTTATAAGAAGTTCAAGGGCCTTAATGAGGACCTCATCAGCATAAAAAAAAACAGTAAAAAATGAAGGGTTCACCAATTAAAGAACAATTTACAGGGAAACAACAGTAGAGTGGATGAAGCTGAGAATCAAATTAATGATTTGGAACATAAGAAAGCAAAAACAATCAGAACTGCAAGAGTAAAAAAGAATCCAAAATAATGAGGGTAGATAAGCAACTTCTGAGACAACTTCAAGAGGTCCAACATTTGCCTCATAGGAGTTCCAGAAGGAGAAAAGAAAAAGCAAGAAATTGGAAATCTATCTAAAATAATAGTGAAATAAAACTTTCCTAATTTGATGAAGGCAATAGACATGCAAGTCCAGGAAGCCAAAAAGGAGTTAGTTACCAAAAGGTTGCCAGATGGGAAGTGGGAGGGGGGAGAATGGGTGAAGAGGTGAGGAGATTAAGAAGTACAAATAGGTAGGTTCCAGAATAGCCATGGAAATGTAAAGTATAGTATAGGAAATGGAGTAGCCAAACAACTTATGCATGTGATCCATGGACATGAACAATGGTAGGGAGATTGTCTGAGGGAGTGGGGGGTGCGGGGTGGAGGTGGGGCAAAGGTGGAAGAATCAGGACAACTGTAATGGCATAATCAATAAAATATAATTTAAAAAAATTTAATGTTCCAGTTGTTGCCATCAACTATCTGTTGAATGCTCTCCTTTCCCTGGGCTTCTTTAATCACATCTCAGTCTAATTCCATAACTTTTTTTCAGTCCTCACCCAAGGATATTATTTGTTTATTTGCTTTTTTTGTTGTTTTCTTTATATTTTATTTGAGAGAGAGAGAGAAATATCAATCAGTTGCCTCCCATCCTGATTGGGGTTCGAACCTGCAACATAGTTATGTCCCCTGACCAGGAATTGAACCTGCAACCTTTTGGTGTAGTAATGATGCTCCAACCAACTGAGCCACCCAGCTAGGTCTAATTCCATAAATTTAAAACAAATATATGTTTATTGATTTAGAGAGAGGAGGGGAGAGAGAGAGATAGACAGACAGACAGACAGACAGACATCAATGTGAGAGAGAAACATCAACTGGTTGTCTCTCTTATGCTCCCTGACCAAGGATCAAACAGGCAACCTAGGTATGTGCCCTCCCTGGGAATTGAACCTACAAAATTTTAGTGTATGGGATGATATTCCAAACAACTGAGCCATACTGGCCAGGGCTAATTTCATAATTTTAAGTCAATTTCAGTTATTTTATCAGTCAATTTTTTTTCTTAGACTCGGTTCTATTCATTTGCAAATTCAGCTTCATGCCATATTTAAAGCTCTCCTCTGATCCTTTCCTTCTCCCTCTATCCCTTCTTGCCAAATTCAGCTGAGGCTCCAGCTGATTTGAGTTGGCGAGTAAGGCACGCTCTGCTCATACATACCTTTCTTATTCCTCTTCTCTCTATTTCCTCTTTGATATTGAGAAGGGAAACCAAGAGATAGAAAACTAAACAGGCTCTTCTCTGTCATTAACCTGAGCGAGGTGGACATCCATTCCTGTTGACTGATCACAGCTACTGACCAGCGATTGACTGTTGGCTTAAGGAGGTGGTGGCTCAATAGGTCCTGTGGATGAAGGGCTTAATCTCAAGCCACTCCCAGAGTCATTGGTGGCCTCTTGTAGCTCTCTACCATATCATGTCTCATTGCTCAACTGCATGTCTCTTGGCCCCATGGTACATGGGGCCCTGGTACATGACCACCCTGCTTCTCGATCACAAACTACACCAGCAACTCCTATGACATGACACAGAAAAATTCAAATTCCAGGAGCTATTTAAGTGCCTTTTGGATAGGTCTCAATGATCTGCATGAAGTACATATTTCCTCCTGCCCCATTCCCTCTGTACCAGTTCTTCCTTCCTGAGGTACCTCCCAAATATTTTTCCTGCTTGTGTTGATTTTATCCAGAACTGTAAGGAGAGGCATTTGGGCATCCCCAGTGCCCTGGCTCTTGGGGAAATCAAATGAATGGGAGTGTGTACATATAACCTAATGTCTACACTATGAGTAAAGTCAGAGCAAGGCTGTCAAGATTCTTGATGCTCAGGTGTAGTCAGAGAATAGATCAGATACAGGATAGATAAATTCTAGAGACCATCAAATGCTGATGGGCCATAAAATTTAATTAACTTCCTGCCCTGGGAGAAATTGCTAAGCATTTGCACTGTGATTTTGAGCCATATGGATGTTTCCTATGAGGCAAGGCCAACTTAGGTTGTGCTTGCTTAGATTTTTATTGGGAGCTGGAGAGAGCTGGAGAGAGCTGGAGAGAGCTGGAGCCACAGCCTATTTCTTCCCCAAAACCCAATTCTAATGCACATGGCTCTCCTTTGTGTCTCTAGTGTAACGAAACCCCAGGACACCACATGTCCAGCCCATTGACTGTTCCTCTTTCTATGTGAAAAGGAAATCCTCCTTCTAAATACAGGATGGAGATGTCTAGTAGCCTGGGTTATGGAAAGAGAAAAATAGGAGGGGAAGGTGGATTTACTCTGAGTCTTGGGGTCCAAAAAGAGAAGATGAAATTGTAAGGAGGGGGGAGAGCTAGAAATGGGAGCTGGGTCCCAGCCTGGACCCTTTCTGGTGGCAGTGGGAATGTGAGTGTCAGAGGTGAGCAGGTGGTGGGCAGAAATGTGCAAGGACCAAGAAACAGAAATGCTATTTAGTCTTCGTGGGATTTAGCAAAACCCACAGACATATGGTTTTAAACTTGAGACGGTGTTTGCAAAAGTGCGTGGTGGTGGCTTAGACAACAGCTTTGGGTCAGAAGTAGCAAAAGGCAGGGCAGGTAGGATTCCTTCCTGAGACCCGCCAGGCAGAGGAGACCTAAAATTGGCAAACTGAGAACTTGTTTCCAGAAACAAATACGAAGAGGCACAAACCATTGATCAGTTTCTCTTTTTCTCCCCACAGATCTTGTATATCAGGGTGTCCTGGCCTGACAGAGATGTCCCTCTGTCCCCAAGGCCCCAACCTGCCCGCAAGTCCTCTGGCTCTCTCCCCCATGAGCTCTCAGACCTGACCCATCTTCTGTACTGGCCTCTGATCCCAGGAGATGAGGGGGAACTTTTGGCCTCCACCAGTCCTCAGACCTCCACCTACTGCCTGAGGGATCCTGCCCAGGCCACCTATGCCCTGGGAGGCTCCCTAGAGGCCATCCTTGTGGCCAGAGACCATTGGGGAAGGCCCAAGACCCATGGTGGAGATCTGTTTCGGGCACAGTTGCTGGGTCCCAACTTGAAGGCAGGGGTCCCTGGGGATGTCCAGGATCTGGAGAATGGCACATACCTGCTGTCCTTCCCCCTTCTCTGGGCTGGGCAGGCCCAGGTGCAAGTGCGGCTTATCCACTCCAGCGAGGCCGTTGGGGTTCTGAGAAGAATCTGGAGAGACCAATGGGCCACAGTCGATTTCATGGGCTATTTTCGGGGACCCACAGGATATGAAGAAATTGTCACTTGCAATATTAACCCCCTATTAACTGGGAAGGAAGAGTCTATCTGTCACTACAGGGATGAAGATTCAGGGGAACTGTGGTTCTGTGCTCAACCTCCCACCCTGCCCTGTGACTCACTGGTGGGACATTCAAGTGGACAGTACTGGAATGTGACCACATCACATGAGAAGGCCCTGCTGGTGTGGTAAGAAACCCAGCTTTCAGGGATAACTGCCCCAACTCCTACATCCTTGTCCCTGTGATTCTTCTGCCTGAACCCCTGCCCTTATCATTCATCTATTCATTCCTAATACATACACCTCCTGAGCACCTATTACATGCTCAAGTGAATCTATATATTATGTGATATATAATACATATTATATGCATAACAGTGAGCACCCCTGACCTCTACACATTTCCAGTGAAGATATGCATGACTTTTTAAAAAATATGTTTTATTAATTATGCCATTACAGTTGTTCTATTCCCTTCATTCCCCTACACCCTGCACACCCCCTCCCCCACCATTCCCCCCTTTAGTTTATGACCACGTGTCTCAAGTTCTTTAGATTCTATATTTTCCATACTATTCTTGCCCTTCCCCCCATCTATTTTCTACCTACCATCTATGCTACTTATTTTCTGTACCTTCTCCCCCCTTCTCCTTCTCCCACTCCCCTGTTGCTAACCCTCCATGTGATCTTCATTTCTATGGTTCTGCTCCTGATCTAGCTGTCCTCTTAGTTTGCTTTTGTTTTAGGTGTGGTTCTTAATAACTGTGAGTTTGCTGTCCTTTCACTGTTCATCTTTTTCATCTCTTTTTCATAAGTAAGTCCCTTTAACATTTCATATAAGGAGCTTGGTGATGATGAACTTCTTGAATTTGATCTTATCTGAGAAGCACTTTATCTGCCCTTCCATTCTAAATGACAGCTTTGCTGGATAGATCAATCTTGGATGTAGGTCTTGGGATTTCATGACTTGGAATACTTCTTTCCAGCCCCTTCTTGCCTGTAAGGTCTCTTTTGAGAAATCTGCTGACAGTCTGATGGGAAGTCCTTTGTAGGTGACTGTCCCCTTATCTCTTGCTGCTTCTAGGATTCTCTCCTTCATTTTAATCTTGGCTAATGTAATGATGATGTGCCTTGGTGTGTTTCTTCTTGGGTCCAACTTCTTTGGGATTCTGAGCTTCCTGGATTTCCTGGAAATCTATTTCCTTTGCCACATTGGGGAAGTTCTCCTTTATTATTTGTTCAAATAAATTTTCCACTCGTGGCTGTTCCTCTTCCCCTTCTGCGACCCCTATAATTCAGATGTTGGAACGTTTAAAGATGTCCTGAAGGTTCCTAAGTCTCTCCTCATTTTTTTGGATTCTTGTTTCTTCATCCTTTTCTGTTTGGTCATTTTTTTCCTCCTTCTGGTCCACTCCTTTGATTTGAGTCCCAGTTTCCTTTCCATTACTGTTGGTTTCCTGTGTATTTCCCTTCATTTCAATTAGTTTAGCCTTCATTTTTTAATCTAATTTGTGACTAAAATCAACCACTTCTGTAAGCATCCTGATCATCAGTGTTTTGAATTGTGCGTCTGAAAGTTTGGCTATTTCTTCATCACTTAGATTTATTAGCTCTGGGGCTCTGAGTTGTTCTTGAGCCACGTTTTGATCTGTTCATGCCTGTTACGTATGAGGAGCAGATCCTTAATTGTTCACCAGGGCAGGGCCACCCAGGTCGCTGGTTTGTGACGCTGTATGTCAGGGCAGGGTCAGAGAGGGACAACAGCGGTTCCCTCTGCCACTTCCTGCCACTGGGGCCTGCATGGTCCATCTCACTGCTAGCTCCTTCACTGGTTTATCTGCGCGCGAATGTGTGACCTCGATCAGCCCTCAGTGGGTCCACCCACTTCTCCACACCTGGGATCCGCCCATGGATGCTGGCACACCTGGGTTGTGCGCCCAGGTTGGTCTGGTGGGTCTTTCCTGCCCGACCCCACTCTGCTGCTGGCTCTGCCCCTCTTACCGGTTTGGCTGAAGGGTTCGTTGTTGTCAGACTTCCGTGTAGTTCAATTTTCTGTGGTTTGGCTGCATTTTTGTTGCTAAAACTTTGTTGTTTTTAAACTTAGTTGTGCGAGAAGGTGCAGTGCTTCCACCTATGCCTCCATCTTGGCGGAAGTCCTCTCTGCAATGAGTTTTTAAAACAGGAAGTGTGATAAGTGCTTAACTGTATGCACTGAGTGGTTCAAGGACATGCAGAAAGGGCCCCCTATCTGATTTGTGATGGTGGAGGCAGGTGACAATTTAGCTGGAACTTTAGGGGGAACCACAGACCTCTGGCAAAAGAGAAATGTGCAGGTGCTGTCCACCCTCTTGATGGCCCCTTCAAGGAGGGATGTTAATTTAAAAATCACCATTTTATGTGGTCAGAGAGTAGAGAGGGTGGATGTGACCCCACTGAGTGAGGCAGGAACAGAGACTGCAGCCTGGAAACCAAGCAAAATAAAGGCTGAGAATTGTCCTCAGTTGCTGAGATCCTGCCTCAGCGGGTCTCAGGGTCCCTGAAGGAGGAACAGCGCGGCGAAGGAAACAGAGCTGGACACCAAGTGGAGTGCCGGGGGACAGTCAGACTGGTTAGTTCTGACTGGCTCTCTGAATGCAAAAATTCTTTATTTTTATAGGGATGATTATACAGTGTTAAGGCAGACAGGTGCATAATGTGCTTTTCATAACAGAAAAGGTTATTATAAAAAAATAACTTGGAAAAGTGCAGGAAGTTCCACAGACTCTATCATGCTTAACAAAGGTTAGTGTGACCAAGAGGGCTATTTATCAGCTAAGCAAAAATAACTTTGAGCAGTGTACAGACTCCCAGGTGCCTATTGTTGGCTTCATAGGTAGGCCAATTCTAAGAAATCCTTCAGGGGTAACCATGCATGGCGAACTTAAGTAATGGTTATTAGAAAAGACAAAGTTTTCTTGTGGTTAGGTTGTCTGAATTAAATGTCTAATTGTCTGTCTAGATATTCTTATTACATCGTGGTGAGGACATTCTTTGTATTTACTCCCATGTGCTTAGACTATAATATCTGATCCACTTCCCATGCCTCTTTACCCATCTGTCTCCATCTATGATTACCCCCATCTAGGGTATAGGAGGAGTAGTAGCTATAAAGAGTTCTGAGCTCCTATGCTCTGGCACATCAGGGGTTTCCCTTAACAAAATCCTCCTCTATTGTGGTGGAAGTTGGTCTGCTCACTGTTTCATTCCATCGCTGTTTCCAGGTGAAGGAAGCAGGCGGCCCTGGGGCTGTTAGGGACCTCTGTTCTGCAGTCAGTAAATCATTATGTGTAGTATCAGAGGAACTGTGCAGAGGCTTAGTAAAATACTAATGTGCCAAAGTCCCACCACCACATGCAAGCAAGAACAAGCATACAAGGAGAGATAGCCAAGATTTCCAGCCATAGTCACTTTTGCCGTGCAGATGCATCTCATCCATCCCAACTGTGTCAAGAGCTGGTTGTTGGTTGGCTCCTGACACTCAGTCTCAGGGAGCAAGGCTCCTGGATGGAGAGGGAGTGGGAGTGAGGGAGAGGAGACTATGAAAACAGACTTGCTCACAGTGAGCCCTTCTGTCCCTGACAGAGCTGGTGCTAGAGAGACCCCAGGGGTGAGGGTAGCACTTTTTAAAATGGGTGATCTGGGCATCTGGTCTCCGGTCTCCAGAGATATAACAGAAGAAGGAAGCAAAAACAGGGTCCCAGAAGATGGCTGGTGTAAGAAGAACAGTAGACAACAGGAGAGCTGGAGGGAACCTCCTAGGAGGGAGAAGGGAGAGAAGAGACTATGGCTACAGGCAGAGGTTCAGGTGGGAAGGCTGACAGGTGAGACAGCTCTTCACCCTGAAGAGCATGAAAGTTATCTCTGGCTGCTATGAGGACTGCAGGATCCAACTTGCCTGAAGCTCCAAGGCAAGATGACCTGGAGACACCCGAGTGCCAGCTCTGCCAGAGCCCATCTCTGGACGCTCTCAGCCATCTTCATGTTGGGACTTCCCACTAACATTTACCCCCTGATACAAAAATTAGCACCGAGACCAATTTTCATGCTCCCTTTGGTCAGAAAAGGAAAACCATCTATCTTTTTTGGCCTTGGCTGACTGGAAATAAATCTAAGATTCAATCTCATGATGTCACTTGGAGGTCAAGCCCGAGTCTCTGGAGTGTGACTGTGAGGTTTAAATCTCCAGTTGTTACTGTTTGCCAGCTTCTTTGCATGTGATCTCTAGCATATTACTTATCCTTTCTGCACCTCTGTTCTCTCATGTGTAAAGGGGATAATAATAACACTACCCTCATAGACTGTGGTGAGGAACAAATAAATTAATATATGTAAATGGCTTATAACAGAGATAGCACATACCTGGCTTGTTGGCTCTTATCATCTGATCTCAGGTGTTTGCTTCTCTTGAGCTCTGTGCTAGACATTATCAAAAGTCCCACCCCAACTCTATGCTAGACATTATCCAAAGTCCTAGAGGTCCTGGAGAGAGGAGAGCAGGGCTGAATGGTCTCATCCTGCAGAAGCTAACAGTGTACTAATGGAGGACAGGCATAAGACAGATAATCACCTAAGTGACGAATGTGTAGTGGACATGAATTTGCAATCCCAAGGTCAAGTGTTTTTTTTTACAACAACTTTAGTCCCATTCTGAGGGCCTCTGTAGCAGGGCTGGTGTTAAGGGTTCCCCTGGCCTAGGGTCCTGCCAAGGAACTGACACTTGACCATGAGGGGTCTTTCTTTCTTTAGCCAACTGTCCACAGTGGTTACTCCAGAGTGCCCATAGTCCAAACCTGAGTGGTCTTGGGCTCTGCTAGGACAGGCATCTCCAGCTCAGTCTAGAGTCTTTGGGATAATCCTGCACCTGCTTCCTGAAGCTCTGTAACCTCTCTGGGGCTCTAGAGACCTGACACTCTTGGGACAGGCCACACTGAGGCATTTTTCTAGATTCTAGGAACATTTTCTTGCTCCCTCTTCTTTCTGAAAGCAAACTCTCCTCTCCTCCTACTAGAAAAGACACTGGCGTTCAGACTGCCTGTCACTACCAAATCAAATAAGCAATGACAGCAATTGAATCTTTATGGGTGCTTTATTCAGATGGCCAGCAATCTGAGAAGATGGCAGATTCATACCCTAACAGACAATCTTATGTTTTCTTTCCAAGCCAGCGTTTTTATAACAGAGAACAAAGTGCAGTGAAGAGTTTTGAAATTCAGGGAAAATTAGATTTAAAAAATCGCACTATCCTTACCCTGGCAGTTAGCTATTCCCAGGGGTAGGTGGTCGTCTGTCTCTCCCTGGAACACAGAGGCCCAGATGCCTCCACTTGTCCAGGTGGTAATCTTTAGCAGTGCCTCAGGAGGTCGGCTGTTTTCCCAGAAGCCAGGATAGGGCTTATCTGTAGGATCTGAAACAAAAGCTTTAACATATACATTACTTACTAGGCTCAATTATTTACCTTAAACTAAAATTTTCCAACTCTTAAGCCCCCTATTACTCCTGGGACACAACCTCTTCAATCAGTCTATTCTTTCTTGCAGCAAATGCTGATTGAGCACCTGTTACAAGTGTGGCTCTGCTATAGACACTGGGAAAGCAGCAGGGAACAAAACAGATAAGGACCCTGCCCTGGTAAAGTTTATATAACAGAAGAAAGGGATGACAGCAATAAACATAACAAAAAATAAACTATATAGGATGTTAGAAGGAGGTTCAAACTATAGGAAGTTTAAAATATGGAGGTGGTGAGGATTTGGAGTATGTCCAGGTCAGGTTGCAATGTTAAATAGGGGGTCAATGTGGACCTCTAATGAGGTGACATCTGAACAAAGACTTCAAGGGGATGAGAGAGTTGGCCAAAGCTATACCTGGCAGAAGAGGGTTCTGTGCAGAGGTAGTGCAGTGGTGTGCTTGATGTGTCTGAGGAACAGTAAGAAAGCCAGATAGCTAGATGATGTAAAGAGTAGGGAGGTAGTGGGTGAAAAGATCAGTAAGGTTAAGGGAAGAATGTAGCACAAACAGGAAAGGCTCTGTAGAGATGATGGGTTTTGCTGTAAGATAAAAGGGATCATTGGAAAAACAAAAGGTAGAAGGCTTTGACCTCAGGTTGCAGTAGTAGAGGTGTCTAAAGTGATTCATTTCTAGATAAATTCTGAAGGCAGCACCCATAGAATTTCCAGAGAGACACAAAGAGGAATGTACCAAAAAGTGAGAACTTGAAGATGGCGGCAGGGTCTGGGGCCTGCTCACCTGGAAAGGCAGAATTGCCATCAGCTGAAGTGGGGAAAGCTCTGGGCGTGGAAGGGTGGGGTGTAGATCAGGAGTTTGGTCGCATGTATCAGATATCAAATGGAGATATTGAGCAGATGGTCAGATACACAAATCTTGAATTTGACAGAGAAATATGTGCTGGAGATCTAATTGGGGAAGTTAAAGTCAGGAGGCTGAGTGAGACCACCAAGGGAAGGAATGTGATCCAAAAAGAGGAGCAAAGGTTGTGCCTGGATGCTCCAATATAAAAAGACTGGGGAGAAGGAGACTAGCAAAAGGGGCTACCAGAAGAGGGAGGTGTCCTGGCAACCAAGGAGAGAGCATGCCTCAGGGAAGAGGGAGCTACTGCTGGGCTGACCAATGGACAGGAATGACAAAAAACTGGCCTTGGATTTTGCCATTTCTGGGAGTAAGAGTCCAGCTGGAGTGAGCTCAGTGAGACCAACAGGAGAGTTAAGGCTTCTTGCAAAAGGATCCAATCATCTTCTTGTATGAATCATGTTTTTTAAAAGATTTTATTTATTGATTTTTAGAGAGAGGGGAAGGGAAGGAGAAAGAGAGGGAAAGAAATATCATTGTGTGGTTCCTCCTTACATGTTCCCCACTGGGGACCTGGCCCGCAACCCAGGAGTGTGACCTGACAGGGAATTGAACTGTGACAACCCTTTGGTTCATAGCCTGTGCTCAATCCACTGAGCTAGACCAGCCAGGGCTGAATCATGTTTTTTGTTGTTGTTTTGTTTTTTTTAATTTTAGAGAGAGAGGAAGGGTGTAGAAAGAGAGGAAGAGAAACATTGATGTGAGGGAGAAACATCTATCAGTTGCCTTTAGTACATGCCCCATTGTGAAACCAAACCTGCATGTGCCCTGACTGGGAATCAAACAGGCAACCTTTTGATATGGGAAACTGTGAAAAACCTCTGTTTAACCTTTATTTGCCCAGGCCCCAGGCGCCCTAGAGAGAATGATGGGGCCGTCTGGGAGGGCGGGTGGTGGGATAGTGAGGACTGGAACTGGCACCCCTGCTGATAGAACAATTATCACATTCTGTTTCTGTAACCCACGTTTGTCACATAGACAGAAAGACCCCCTAATCTATATATTCCCCAAGAATCCTTTGTTTGGGGCTCAGAATTTGGAAATGACTCCTCTGGGCCCGTGCACATTAGTTAAACAATAAACCTCGTACTCCAGAATCCCTCAGTGTCTGGTTGCTTTGTTTTCCTATAACACTTTCAGTGTGTGGAATGATGCCCAACCCACTAAGCCACACCAGCTGGAGCAAATCATGTTTTTAATGTTCTATATTTTGTGATGCTTTGACATCTTGGGGCCTTGTAGGCCTGCCCCTCCCAGTGTTAGCCAACCCCTAGAGACAGCACACATCTTGCCTTCAGCACACCTTTGATATGCAACCTACCCACTCCCCAGTCTACACTACTACTTCTTCCTCCTTTTATCAGGTTCTTCCAGCCAAACACCATCTCCCTGCTGAAATCACCCCAGGGCCAAGTACCAGGCAACTACTTCTCTAGCCCAGAGCCCACTGAAATTATTCAAACTCTTCGATCCTAAACCCAGTCAGCTGCTTACCCTTCCTCACCCATTCCTTTCTGCAGAAACTGCAATAAAGTATTTTGTTCACATTTTCCTCTTCTTCTTATGCCTCTTGGCCAATCCTGGTGCTTCCCCCATGTGGCCTTGCATGGTGCACCATGTCGCCCTCCCTACCTCTAGGACTTTATTGACTGCCTTTAAATATAGAATAACACACTATCTTTTTAGTGGCAATCATCTTTGATCTATTGATTTCACCATATCTAAGTAAAACCAAAATCCTGGGTACATTTTAAAACACATCTGCTTTCCACACTGATGAAATCCCTGAGGCTAGGGAATTCAAAGGACCTGGATCCCTGAACTTCAGTTTCCAAGCACTCTCTCTTCCCCAAGCTGTCTCCCAGGAGCCCTGACAGATGCCCTTGACTTTGAGAACTTCTTTTCCTCCAACAACCTTCATGTCGCCTTAGCCTAGAATCTCTTCCTATCACACATGTCCATTAAGGGGTCCCTTCTTGCCAATTTCTCTTCAGGAACGTGACAGATAAGGTCCTCACTCAGGGTATTTCTGCAATCTGGGTGGCAGAGGAGAGCAAGAGGAGTCTGGGTAAGTGACACTGGGGCCTAAAGAAAAGGCAGCACTTATTCCATGCCTGTAGCTTTCGTTTCTTCCATATTCACTGACTATTTTGCTTGCAAACAATTGCTTGCAGTGCTGCCCCCTAAACAGCTCTGCCGTCCTGGGATTCCAGGCCCAAAGCCCTCTGGCTTCTACTACCAAGGAGTATGGCACTCACTGTTCTGCTCCAGCCGTACCTTCTCCACGGTTGACAGCATCCTGGACTGCCTGGCTGGTCATGTCATCCACATGATGGGGGACTCCACACTTCGGCAGTGGTGGGAGTATCTGCGTGACACCGTGCCCTGTGAGTGGCCATGAGAGGAGAGGGGAGGACTCCTAAGAGAAAAAGAGTAGAACCAGGACTTTGAGAAGGCAGAAAACATCTACCTTGATATGGAGTGTTGTGTAAGGACAGGACACCTGGGTTTGGGGCACTGGAAGGGATGGGAAACAGTACCCAGACTGTGCATCACCTTAATGATTAAATGGACAATCTGAGGCTGTACCAGGAGAGCAGACAGGTTTGATGAAACATGAGTAGATAACCTTGGTTGCAACTAATTATTTGCTAGGAGGGTACTGGAGGAACAGAGTTGTAATTTAAGAAAGTAATTGTAGAGAAACCAAGGGTTTTGTTTTATGACATTTGGGAGACACTAAATGTTTTTAAGCAGAGTTTTCAGTTTGTTGGATAGATTGGATTGAAAAAGAAAGACCAAAGACTAGTTACAAGACTGTATGGTCACCATGTGAGGTGATGAGAGGCTAAACTGGTACAGAAATAGAGTGCTAGCGGTAAAGGAAATATCATGCTAAAGGAATTGACAGTCTTCTTGACTGCCTGGTTCTGGAATAAAGGGAGATGATCAGATTACTATGGATAACCATAAAATGAACTCAAAATAAAAGTCACTGGAGTGCTTACTGGATGTTGGAGCAAGGGGCAGGAGTGAGAGAAGATGGTGTATTTACTTTACACCTTTTTCATATTGGGTTAAAGAGGTGGTGGGGGCAAGTTTCTGGGGAACATGTGGATGAGGCATTCGAACACATGGGATTGGAAGTGAATTGAGATGCCTGAGCTTCAGACAAAGTTTTGGTATTTATTCCTCTGAAGGTAGAAATTCAAGGAGGTGAGAGTGTCATACAGGGCCTTTGCCTTGCAGGCACAAGTTTCATAATATAACGTGGATTAAGAAATATGCCTTATTGGAGAAAGGAGCAACAGGACAGCCAGGGAAAAAAAGAGCATCAGCTCCTAGCCCCATCCCCCACATGTTCCCCCATCGTTCTGTAGAGAGAGGTGTGCGGGGCCAACAGGGTGGGTCTATGCTCTCATGAAGGAGACACCCCGCCCCCATCATAGGTCTCCCTTCTTACCTACAAACAGAAGAGCAGCCTTGTTGGGATTCTTAGCACAAAATACATGTGGGCTGCCATTTGTTTATAGAAGATGGAAAACACACGCTGCCCCCACCTGGAGACTCTGAAGTCTGTGAGACAGTTACCTACGTTTCTGCTTGAGGGGTTGAAGCTCCCAGACTCCAAGGAGGGTTAGTTTGGGTGCAGCCCCTCCTTTTGGGAAAAAAGGGAGCTCTGGTCCCTTTGGGACAATTTTGCTCATGGCCAGGTGGAGTGGGTGAGTCTTCTAGGCAAGAGATGTTTTTAAAGATGGATGGAAGCTCATGACAGAGGTTGTGAAAACCAGACACTCTGCTAGCTGATCTGGCACCTTTCTGTGGAATAGAGAAAGGTGGCCTCTGTGCCCACACAGCCATGGAGCACACTGTGGAGAAAGCACACAGGGACTTTGTGCAAAGAAATGAGGGCCTTTTCCTGCAGGTGTGTCTAGCTCCCTGTCAGGACCAAGCAGACTATATTTCAGGAGTTGCTGGCCCCCTAGGCTGGGCACCATTGTGAAAGGACAAAAACCGGACAACCCTGAATCTCTAGCCTGGAGCAAGTCTTCATCCAGGGGTGGCTGAAGGGAGCCAGTGAATGAATCTGAGTTGGAGTGCCAGGTCTGAAAGGGACTGTAGAGAGTGACAACACGCTGCTAAGGAAGAAAAATCAATGAGACAAAGTGCTGCAAGGAGTCAGGGAGGTGGAGGACGGAGAACAGGTATTCAGACTTGGTAACTAGGGGGTCACTGACAATATTATATAGATTAGGAGAGTAAAATCAGGTGATCGGGCCGCAGAATGATAGAAGAAAATAATGTTAGATCTTCTGTATTTTTAAATCAGGAAGTACAGTCCTGAATTAACCCCTAAGTCTCCTGTCTCCGCCTCCCCCAGCCCTGAAGCCTGTGGATCTACACGCCACCTATCAGACAGGACCCCTGATGGCTGTCGAGACCACTCGGAACATAGTGCTGCACTGGCGGGCTCACCGCTGGCCCCTGCGCTCCCTCCGCACTCCAGTGGCCTCCCTGCACTCTGTGGTCCGGGAGCTGGGGGGCCTGGCCGGGGGCCCCCACACCGTGGTGGTGCTGGGGCTGGGCGCCCACTTCACCACCTTCCCTCCATCCTTCTTTGTGCGACGACTGGCAGGCATTCGGGCAGCTGTGGCTGCACTGCTGGCCCGGGAGCCCCACACTCTTGTGGTCATCAAACTGGCCAACACCGGCTACAAGTCCGTGTATGGCAGTGACTGGTTCACCCTTCAGATGAACCGGCTCCTCCGAGCTGCCTTTGCTGACCTCCGTGTGGCCTTTGTGGATGCCTGGGAAATGACCTCCAGCCTGGCGCTGCCGGACAGCATCCACCCAGGGCGGCTGATTGTCCGCAGTGAGGTGGACTTCCTCCTCTCCTTCATCTGCCCCACCTGAGTGCTTCTGCGGGTCTTTGGGCTTTGTGGATGGAGAAGCTGGTGCGATGGTCAAGCCTGCAAGCCCTACTTCTCAGCCCACTGTCCCGCTTCTCTGATCTCTTTCTAATGCACAGACCATAAAACCAATCAGCAGGAATTGGGATGTGGGTGGTGGCAGGGACAGCAGCCTGGCAGTGGTCCAGTACATCTTGAAAGGTTTAGTTCCCACAAGGAGAAGCGTGCTGAGGGGAAGAGGGTAAGGATAGAGCCAGCAACATCTACTTCATCAGTATGAAGATTGTTAATTTATGTGCAGGAGTTTCCGTGTAGAGTATCAACAAGCCTTGCAAAGGTATGATTCCATTTCACTTTATTAGAGCCACCCTAGTGCAAAGCCCAAATATATATATACACTTTTCCAGTAAGTTTTCATGTGTAAAAGTTTTTTTCTATCTCTTTACTTTTTAAACTTGAGATATAGGTGACAGGTTTACTCCAAGGTCCTAATGGATATTAAAGAGGATTTTGGTGTGCTCCTCAGTGAGTCCATGTTCTCCAGGAAGCAGGTGTCATAGATCTACTTGCTGTACCAACCTTGGGCTGCCTACTTCTAGATTTCCCTTTGTGTAAAAAAAATAATTTTTAAGCTCCCGGGTGTTGTTTGTTTATTTCTGTAATTCACAACTGAATCCATGCCATAATTCACAAAATTGTGGATTTTCCAACTTGTTATTTACACCATTTTTCTTTTACATGCTTGAAGTCTGTATAACTAGACACACACCAGAAAATCTGTCACAAAACAGCCAGCATCAGCGCATCACTTGTGAAAGCACTGGCTTTTGAAGATAAAGAATCCTTTAGGCATTTAAGCAAAAAAGGCTTAAGTCACTTATAAGAGTAAAATTTAGATTGACTTAGATTAATAAACAGCAATAGTCACACTAGAAGACAGTAGTACAATAGCTGCAAAAACCACAAACTAAAAGAACCCAAGAATTCAGCTAGAGGTTATTTGGCTTAGCTAAATACACTTAGCTAAAGTTATCATTCAGCTACAAAGGCAACAGACAAACAGGTAATATGCAATAACTCAGGAAATATAGTTGATTTTCTTTAAAAAATGACAAAAGTCAAAATTCAGTGAAACAAGAGATTAGCTGATATGATACAGAACTTTCATATCTGTATCAAAGAAAAGGAAAACACTAATTTGAGTAGATATCTGGCCCCCCATGTTCATTACAGCACTATTTACAATAGCCAAGACATAGAAGCAACCTAAGTGTCCATCAATGAATTAATGGATAAAGAAAATGTGGTATGTATAGACAATGAGATATTATTTGGCTATTAAAAAGGCAGAAATCTTATGACAATGTACACAGATTTTGAGGGTATTAAGCTAAGTAAAATCAGTCAGGTAGAGGAGGGCAATTGCCATGTGATCTCACCCACATGTGGAGTCTGGGAAGAAAATGAGCTCATTGATACAGGTTACCAGAGATGGGAGCTGGGGCATGGGCGACATAAATAAAGGGGGTCCAAAGGTACAAACTTTCCATTGTAAAATAAGTCCTGGGATGTGATGTATAACATGGTGACTATAGTGAATAATACTGTAGTACTGCATGAAAAGTTTACCAAGTCCTCATCTCTAGAGGCATCAGATGAAGGCAACTGAGTGGTGGCAGCTGGAGAGTCCGGGGATTTGGGAGGATTGTTCTGTTCAGAGCTAACTGGTCAACCTTCAACTTCAGCCTTTACCTTTTACCACATTCAAATCAACCACTGAATTATACACTTTAAGTGAATAGATTGTATGGTATGTGAATTATATCTTATGTGAATTATATCTCAACTAAAGGATGAGCAATAAGGCATGCAGAATTGGCAGAAACTGTTATGTGTTCCTCAAAACCTAGATCCTTTTCCTACTAGATACACAAAAGTGTGGACCCTATGTTTGTGTTTTCATGTATTTTTAATGGTCAATTTTAACAAAACATTTAAGTGTTGAAAAATACTGAAAAATTGAAAAGCAGGTCTATTAAAATTCACAATATTTTAATTTTAAATATTTTACTTATACCAAAAAATTTATTATAATTTTACCTATGTGGCTTTTTAAAAATCCTTACCCAAGGACATGCTTATTGATTTGAAGGAGAGGGGAAGGGCGGAAGACAGAGAGGGAGAGAAGCATCAATGCGAGAGAGATACATCACAGATGCCCCGAGTGGGGACCAAATTTGTTAACTTTCAGTTCATGGAATGATGCTCCAACTAACTCAGCCACCCTGGCCAGGGCTACCTACCTCGCTTTTATGAAATCAATAATAACTTTAAAATATACCGAGTTTTTTGCCTTCCCCTTATGTCTTCAGTCTGAGGAGAGTGACTCCCTTGCTTCACCGTGATCCTGGTTCCACAACTAAATATATTTCCCAGTGTGTCTTATACATGGGTGGGTGTCAGACAAGTGATTTCTGGACAATTCAGTGTGGGAGAAAGTGATGTGTATATATTAGCTCCAGAGGAAGTGATATAACCTGTCTTTGAAACCTTCAATGCTGTCTCTCCATTTGCCAGATGGATGGAGAGGACACTGAAGAATTAGAGGAGGTGAAGCTACAGACAGGAGTCTGGGTCCCTCAGTCCTCAACTGGAAGAGAGATGCCCAAGAAGCTCTGGACCAGTAACATTCACAATGAAATGTTATATGATTCAGGACTGAACTTCCACTGTGTTAAACTACAGGCATTGGAGGTTGTTTGTTATAGCAGTAAGTAGGGTTTAGTTTATTCAGTGTATGTAAGGTCCAAGAATGAAAAAATTTAAGATACATTTTTTTGGTTGACTATAAACCCCTTTTCTTCTTGTCTACATTTCCCAGGCTACACTGTGGCTCCTTCTCCTAGAGCAGGGTTTTCTGCAATAAATAGAACAAAGAGCCACTGAGCACGACTCCCTTTGTATCCACCACACTTTTGCCAACAGCACATTCACACTCCACGTGGCCTTTGTCCAGTCAGGAAGCAGGGTGGGTCCTGGTTGGAAACATATGGCTTTCTCAGATGATGGCAACTAGAAGAGAGCCTAAGGAAGTGGATACTATAAAGGAAGGGGTGGGCAGAGTTCAGGAACACTAAAAGAGACAGTGTGGTGGCCCAAGTCCAGCCCAATGAGCCTGCTCTTTTCATCTGCAGGCCTGAGAGAGTGGTTACCAGAATCCAGACACAAAGGGAGGAAGAACTTTGCAGAGAGGGCTGCTTGACAGGTGCTGGGAACACAGGCAAGAAGGATCCTACCCTGCTCCAGAAAGTTTTGAACATAAACACACAGGTGAACTTATGAAACACACATAAACTTCCGGGTCGCCTGGATTCCAGCACCCCAGTGCTGGCCCAGCAAAACTTGTAACCTATAAAGAGGGCTCTCATGACTAATACCCTTCCGACCTCACAGAAGTGCTTCTCCCCACAGCCTGCCCCATGTCCTGACCCAAGGGGAGTGGACCCAAATGCCATAAGGCTTGGGGAGGCCCTTGTTGACAGAGAAGCCTGTCTCTGCACAGGCCTGTGTGAAGGAAATGAGCAGAGGAGGTACAGATGTTTCAGAAAAGACAAATTAACTTGTTACATCTTTCCCTCAGATAACTGGAATGCAGTAGAGTTTTGCAAACAAACAGTTGTGTCCTGGTTGTGTCAGCACCCACTTTCTTTCTTCTCTTTGTGTTCCAATTTATGGTTCCAGGTACAAAGCAGCATGCTCTGCATAACAGCGGCACATGGCACTTTAGGACTTCAAACAATTCTTATCACGTGTCTACATGTGTATATAACATACATGCATGTGTTAATATGGGTTTGACATGTCATGCATGATGGATGCTATGAATGTTGCTTTTAAAAGTGGTTAAAATCATGATCTAAGTGATAACAAGTCAGATCATAAAATATTTTGTAATATTTTCTGCAATAATTTCTGATTTGCGACCCACCTCAACAGGTGAATATGTTGTGTAAGATGCATGACATTTCCAAATGTAAGTATTGCTGCAAGAATTGTATTTACAATTCCAGTTTCTGCCTTAACAGAGAGATGTTTCTCCAAATGGATATTAATAAAACAAAACTACCTTAGAACTACAATGAACCAGGAAAGGTTTTATTGTATCCCACTTTCTGTCATTTATTTCTAAGTATTTCATATTTTATGCTATTGTAAATGGTATTATTGTCAATTCAATTTCCAGTTCTTGGTCAGTGTATAGCAATGCAACTGGTTTTTGTACATTGACTCTGTATCCTGCAGTCTCACTTCACTCACTTAGAGCAGTAGTGGGTTTTTTACAAATTCCATCAGGTCTTCTATATACACAATCAGGTCATCAGTGAATAGTTTTTACTTCTTTTCCAGTCTGAACGACTTTTGTCTTAATGGTTGTGCTCACAGGGTTTTAACTTATAAAGATGACTGAATGACAGGTCAGGGAGGCTAATGCCATCAAAAGACAGTTTTTATTACTGACAATTCCCAAGGGGAGGGGCAGGGAAGGCCATGTGTGGGCACCAGTGTCAGTCGGGAGACAGACCCAAGAACAAGAGGAAAGCACAGGCCACAGTTGTTGTGTTTTCTGTAGGAAAAGCAGGGCAGGGCAGGGGGATCAGTTTAGGATTGGCTGTTTTGACTAATTCCAGTGGACTTTGGATTATTGGTGCCATTTCTAGGTGCCTGATACCTAGCTCAGGGTTGATTTAGGGCAAGGGAGATAGAGGCTTGATGTATGAGAGTTAGATAAAGGAGGTAGTTGAAGGTTGGTGAATTTTTTTATGAGGCATGCATCCAGAAGAACCTTTAGCTATCTCTAAGAATTTACTAGCCCTGGGAGGGGCAGTCTCCAAGTCAGGGAGGCTACAAATGACAGAGCATCAAGTATATAGAAGGTAAAAAAATATATAGTTAGGGCCCTGGCCAGGTAGCTCCATTAGTTAGAGCATTGTCTCAAAACACCAAGGTTGCAGGCTTGATCACTGGTCATGACACATACAAGAAACAACCAATGAATGCATATATATGTAGAACAACAAATTGATGTTTTTTTCCTCTCTCTCTAAAAAAAATCAATCAATAAAAATATTTTAAAAAGAAAATATTGTCCTAGCCAGTATGACTCAGTTGGTTGGAGAATTGTTCTGTGAACCGAAAGGTTGTAGGTTCTGAAACCAGAAAAGACACTGGCATTCAGGCTGACTGTCACTACCAAACCCAATAAGCAATGACAGCAATTGAATCTTTATGGGCTCTTTATTCAGATGGCCAGCAATCTGAGAAGATAGCAGGTTCATACCCTAACAAACCATCTTGTCTTTTCTTCCCAGGCCAACATTTTTATACCAGGGAATAAACAAGGTGTGGTCAGGGCTTTGAGATTCAGGGAGGGTTAGGTAAGGGAAGCTGCAACATTCCTTTTCTGGGCAGTTAGCTGTTCCCAGGGGCAGGTGGTCCTCTGTCTCTCCCTGGAACACAAAAGCCCAGATGCCTCCAGTTGTCCCCAGGTAGTAATAATCTTTAGCCGTGCCCCAGGGAGTCAGCTGTTTTCCCAAGAACCAGAATGGGCCTTATCTGTAGTTTCTGAAACAAAAGCTTTAACATATACATTACTTGCTAGGCTTATAGCTTTTTACCTTAAATTTTCCAACTCTCGAGTCCCCTATCAGTTCCATTCCCAGTCACGGCACATGCTTAGGTTGCAGGTTCAGTCCCCAGTTGAAGTGTGTACAAGAGGCAACCGATCTGTTTCTCTCTCACACCCATGTTTCTCTTCCTCTCTCTCTCCAAAAACCAATAAGCATGTCCTCGGGTGAGGATTAAAAAGGAAGGAAGGAAGGGAGGGAGGGAGGGAGGGAGGGAGGGAGGGAGGGAGGGAGGAAATAAGATTAGTGCAATAGACCTTGTGATGATTGGATGTCAAACAGATAAATACAGGATCTAAGAAAATACAGTTAGAACACTTATTTCCTCTCTTCCCTATTTCAAGGGCTAGAACCTCCAGCATAATAAATGCAGGTAGTGAAAGCAGATGTCTTTGCCTTAGTTCTGATCTTGGGAGAAAAACGGAAGGAGGGTGAGGTGTCATGGAGGGGCAAAGGTTGGGGCAGTGATGGCTGTGGCCAATAGGAATGGGAGAATGGAAGCTCAGGAAAACTTGGGGAAGATTTAAGGCAGTGGTCCTCAAATGTGGTCCACAGCTCACTCTAACAGTGCAAAACTGTAACCCACCCCACCTATTCTTTAGACAGTTTCTGTAAGTGCTAACTCTAATATGTAACTTGTAAATGAAGAATATGTATGTATAAGAATCCTAGGGCCCTGCCTGGTTTCGCTCAGTGGATTGAGCATGGGCCTGTGAAGCAAAGGGTCACTGGTCGATTCCCAGTCAGGGCACACGCCTGGGTTGCAGGCCAGATCACCAGTAAGGGACACATGAGAAGCAACCACACACTGATGTTTCTCTCCCACTCTTTCTCCTTCCCTTCCCCTCTCTCTAAAAATAATAATAATAATGATTAAAAAATTCTAGGAAGTAGCTTCAAAAGATAGACTCCAACCTTTAAGCATCCCAATTCTGGGAGATTTGCCGATCTTCATCCATGAAGGTAGGAAGGAAGACATGAAGCCAGGATGACTAAGCCAGGATGATACACACTGCACTGTCACTTGCCTTACCAGACTGGACTGTGCTCATCTGCATGTAGAGAACTTTTCTACCCGCTCCCTGATCTTTGTTCTCTCTCTTTCATTACAAAAAACCCTCTGCCTCCACTGAGATGGGGAGATGGGCTTTAAGACATGAATCCCCTTCTCCCAGATGGCCAGCACCAGAAAACAAGCCACTTTCCTCTACATCAGCACCCACCTCTCTGAGTATTAGCTTTTGTAGCAGCAGGCAGCTGGACCAGCTTTCAATTACAGTTCCTTCCTGCTCCTTTTGACGCTGCTTCTGCTCCTCCCCCATGGCCACTCACTGCATTTAGGCTGAGCCCATCTTTGAATCACAAAATACCAGGCCCTCCTCCCACAAGTCTTCCCCATGCCCTCCCCCCACTGTGAGTGGAGCTACAGCCTGAGGTGACTCCCAGGCCCTCTCATTCTTCTTGAAGGAAGAGATGAGGAACAAATCTGGAGACCACATGCCATCTCCAAACAGAAATTATGCCTCACAGTTCCTAGCCTCAGGGTGATCCAACTGGGTCAGGGGACTGAACGTGACAGGAAAAGTGCAACTTGCATCTAGAGAGACTGTATGTGGAACCAACATGGCCTGGAGGCACCTGCCCAGTGGGTTCTCTGCAAAAGTTACAGAGTCTATTTTGGAAAAGTTCTGTGCTGCTCAATAAAATCAGCAGTGACATCCCTGATGGGGTCCCCTTCCTCAGGCAGCCTGGCAATGAGGAGACTGTCTAGCCAGGTCCCATAGCTAGTCGGGCAAGGTAAGGATGGAACCCAGGTATCACCTCACAGACAAGTCAGGCCACCCTCTGGAGGTCCTGCCTGGAAGCCAGTAGGTTCCCTGTCCTCTCTTCTGCCCACATTTACAACTGTTATCAATTCACAAGCATCTTTCACAGCCCAGAGGACTACATGACCTTAAGGCTCTGTGGCTTCAACTTCCCCATGGGTAATGTGGAGATAACAGTACACCCACCACCGAACGTTGTAAAGATGAAAATGAGGCAATAGATATTTATTGACTGATTCAGATAAGAAAGCTCCATAAAAATTTGAGACCCATCCTGGCTGGTGTGACTCAGTGGACTGGCTGCTGGCCTGAAAACCCAAGGGTTGCTGGTTCAGTTCCCAATCAGGGCACATGCCTGGGTTTCAGGCCAGGTCACCAGTTGGGGGCGCATGAGAGGCAACTACACATTGACATTTCTCTCCCTCTTTCTCCCTCCCTTCCCCTTTGTCTAAAAATGAAAAATAAATAAAATCTTTAAAAAGGTAAGGTAAGGTAAGGAAAGGGAGGAAGGTAAGAAAAGCAGAAACAGACACGGAAGTAGGCAGGGGCTGCCTGGCTGGCCTTGGGAGAAGTGTGGGTGTTTTTCTTTTCCCCTTCCTCTCTCCCTTTCAATAAAAAGATGTCCTTAGGTGAGAATGTTAAAAAACAAAGACTAATTCATGTCCTGGACCCATAGATGGAGAGTCATGGACTTGGGGCACTCCCTCTCTGAGTCTTGGTCACCTCAAATGGGAAGTGGTAAAGACAGACGACCTTGCAGATCCAGATTCTATGGGTTAGGGCATGGCCACCAGAGACCCCACTCTCTGGGGAGATGGAAGGGTAAGACCACCCTCACCTCTTAACTTCAGAGAGGATGTGAGATGCACAGAGGGAACGGAATGGGAGCTGTGGATCTTGTTTCTGCCTGGGGACTACAGGGGAGGGCCAGAGGCCAAGGGCAAGCCAGATGCACCTGGGGCTGGGGGCTGAGGGCGTCTCCATCAGTGTCTCCCCCTCCTACTCTCTCTAAGGGGCTGTAACTGGGCAGAGACTCAGGGCTGCTTTTCCTCTCTTGAAAGAGCCTGAGCTGGTCCTGCTGCCACCACTTCCCCTGGATTGAGAGAGAAACAGAGGCTGAGAGGCACCCAGAGAAGCAGAGAAAAGGAGGGAGAGAGAGAGAGAGAGAGAGAGAGAGAGAGAGTACAAGCAAGCTGGAGACTGAATCCTAGGGGATGAGCAAGTCCCTGGCAGAGACAGGCAGTTGAGGTGGGAGGGGGGCAGCCCAGGCAGCCAAGGTCAGGACCATACCCTTTAGTGCGAAGATGGGGACTGGGGGACCTTTACTGTGGCTCTTTTTCACTGACAACAAGAGAGGCCTTTTTGCAATAGAGGGAAAGACGAAGCCAGATGGAGGAAGGAAGTGCTAGTCACTCTGGGGCAGGGGTGTTTGGGGAAGGCTCCCCCCCCCCACCCCCGCCAGCCCTCTGAAGGAGCCTGATCCCACCCCTCCCAGTTGTCAGACTACACCAAGGCAGCCTCTCCCTTGGGCCTCCCCTCTGGCCTAGAGGCTCTGCTTGTCTTCTCATCCCCAGGAGGAGAGCAAGGTGATGGGTCTGCCCCTGCTGCTGCCCCTGCTACTGCTGCCGCCAGCATCTCTGCAGGATGGTGAGTGGCCAGGACCACCTGGCTCTGCCCAGGGTTAGGGGGCAGGGAAGGGGGGTCTGGGGAGTCTGTGGCCAGGCCTCTGGAGATGGGGTCTGCTGGGGTAGCCAACCAGGCCTCCCACCCACAACAAGCAATGGTCTGGGCTGGTCCCACAGTGCTGGGTCCCCCACACCCCTCACTCCCCTTTCTACCCCAGGCCTGGAAAGGGCGACACATAGCCAGAGGGCCAGACATATGTCTGCCACACTTCTGCCCATGGGTGAAGGTGCCAGACAGTCTGGGGTTATCTTTTTGTCTCTCCAAGTGGCTTCAAAGTCTCTCCCTCTTTCTCCCTCCTCCAGGTGGCTCAGCAAAATGCAAACCAGTCTTTACTTTTGAAATCAACCAACCAAAGCACCTCTCAGCCCCTGTGGGTGGTTCCATCCACATCCCCTTCTCCTTCTGTTACCCCTGGGAGTTAGCTGAGGATCCCAGGGTGAGAATATCCTGGAGAAGGAAAGTGTTCCATGGGGAGTTCATCTACAACACAACCCCGCCTTTCACCCATGAGGATTACAAGGACCGCCTCTCCCTGCTCTGGACAAAGGGCCAGAGGACCGGCTCCCTCCAGATCTCTAACTTGCGGAAGGAGGACGAGTCTGAATACTTCTGCCGAGTTCATTTGAACACATGTACACAACGAGGTGAGGAAGAGTGGCAGTCCATCGAGGGGACCAAACTCACCATCACCACAGGTGAGTCCCGCTGCCCCAGCCTCTGGTGCCCTCCTGCTCCAGGATTGGCCCAGGAGCCTCTCTTCCTGACCCTTCTCCCAAATCCTCTCCCTGCTCTTGACTCCTTCCCAGGTCTCTGCCAACTCTACCATTCTCACCATAATCTCCTCCAAACATGGGCAGCCTTCCTTGCCCACCCCCATCACCGTCCCCTCCAGATACAGCCCCCAACCCTGTTCCCAGTCTTCAGCCCCTTCCTGACTCCCTGGTTGTCCTCCCTTCTTGCTCCAAGCTGGGGATCCAGCCCTGCCCCCTGTCCTGGCCCCAAATCCTCCAGGTGAACTTAACTTCCAGGATGTGGCCTGTCTTCCCTTTGCCATGTACCTGGGTGTGGAGCCCCAGCAAGCCCCATACCTGTGTCTCCCCACAGCCATGAGCTCAGCCTGGCACACACAGGAGATACCCAATGAAGGTCTGAGGATGCCTCTGGCCTGGCCCCTGTTAACACCCCACCACCTGTTTTTCCAACCTCCCTGCTTCCTTTTCCCCAGTACATGGCCCTTAATGCTCCTGCCCCAGTGCTATCTCTTTCCTCTCTTTCTCCATCTTTCTCTTCCTGTCTCCATCCTCTTTAACCTCCTTGCCTCTCTCACCTCCTGGACATGCAAGCCCCTGTGCTGCCCCCTTCTCCACCCCGATCCTGCTCCTCTTACCAGGTTATTAGAGTCACCTCTGCAGCAATAAGGGCAGTTCCCACTTACTGTGCACTGTCCATCTGAAACCTTGGTATGAATCATCCTAGTTAACCTGTACCATGACCCCACAATAACAGCAGGTACTGCTACCATCTTCATATTAAAGATGGGGAAACTGAGGTATACAAGCTAAACACCAGTCCAAAGTCCTGCTTGTGGTGCAGGCAGAATGTGAACCCAATTTAATTTCAGAGCCTCCTCTCAACCATTAGCCTCCCACCTCACCTACTGACTTGATCATCTTGTTGTCCTGATCTACTTTTAACTTACTGTGGGGTGTACTGCTGAATAGTTCTTCCTGTATTGCTCATTGGGGTGTGAGATCTTAAACCTGGGTTTGTCCTTCTCCAGGGCAGTGAGGGCAGAGCCTCTCTCCCAGGCACGGGCAGTAAGAGGATATATTGTAAGATGGTTCCGTTTTTGTAATTTCTTGTGCTGGCAACTCTAAACTATGTCAATGATGAGTCACTTCTGCCAGCAGGGAAGGACACTCTCTGTGCCCAGCCCTGCCCTCCTGGTAAACCGCTGCCCCATCTTGGCCACTAGGTTAGTATCAGAGCAAACAGAAACTGGCTCATAAACAGAATTATTCAAGACAGCCTTGGATTAACTTTCCTGCTCCCTCTCCACATTATTTAAAATGTCCTGTTTTGAGAGATTTGGGCTTTTTTTAGATCCCTCTTATTCCTTTCCTAATTCCCCAATTTCCTCTTTATTTTTCCCAATATTCTTTATTTTTACTATTAATGGGCAACATTATTTTTTTATGTTTTTATAACAGTCACTAAAAAAGTCATGCATAAATTCTGACCAAGATAGTAGGTTATATGCACATTTACCTCCACTGCCAAAATCATCTAAAATGACAGCAAAGTAAATTTTTTACAACAAAAATCCACAAGGACAAAAAATATGTGAACTAAGAGGACAAAAACAAAATTTGGGGAGATGGAAACAAACAGATTGATGGAACTGGTTTAGGCGACCAGAGGAGCCAAACCCTAAGCCAGCACTGGGGCGACCCAGAAGCAAGGCAATTTGCACAGCAAAACCCTTAAAGGTTCAGGAATGGCGACCTAAGTACCCCTGAAAGTGGGAGTGAAAGGGGGTCTGAAAACTAGAGAATTAATTGAAAATCTATTTAAGAGCAGGGAAACCTCCATACTCCAACTCTCCACCCCAGCAGAAGACTGTAGATTTGCTTTCCAGGAAGAAAATGAACCAGAAGGACTCTGAGGGAAGTACCTTGGGCATAACTAGGGGCAAGGGTTCTGTCTTTAAAACTGGAGATTTGGTGAATTGAGGAGACCATAAACACCTGAACACCCTTAGATGCCTCCCAGGACTCAGGCAACCAGGTTGATGTACCCCCAACCCCACCAGGAAGAGATCAGGAGATTCTTCTCTGAGCAATCTGTCCAATGGGTCCAAAAAAGATATAGACCCCTAACAGATAACTCTACAGCCCACTAACTGACAAGCACTTTCTCCTATGCCACACTCCTACGCTCATCAGCTTCTGATGATCATGGCTTCCTGTCTGCTGGGAGCCAAGGGGACAAGGAGATTGGAGTCCCAGCCTCGAACTAAATCCCTCAGTACTGAGGACTGTACCCTCACCTCAGCTAAAGACATCATTAAGCTAAACATTTAAGGACGTCTTCCCCTGTGAAATGCGGATAACAAAAGGAACAGTGGAGAGCAGGGTACAAAAAAGCTGAAACAAACAAAACAAAACAATGAAGGGGGGAATTTTTTCGGATATCTATTGTTCTCCGAAAGATAATGCAGACATGTAACAAGAAAGGGTGTTGAAAAGCACAAAGGAGCCTTCCAAACGATAAAGAAGGTCTTGGAAATTAGAGATATAATGGCAAAGGTAGGAAACTCAGTAAAAGGATCGAAAGGTGAAGTTTGTGGAAATCTCTCAGAAGGTAAAACAAAAGGTCAAAAGATTTGGAAACTGTAGTGGGTTGAATAGCAGCCCCCCCCAAAAGATATGCCCATACCCTAATCCCCAGAAACTATGAATATAACCCTACAACAGATATGATTCGATGAAGGACTTTGAGATAAGGTCATCTGGGATTACATGGGCCTGCCCTGAACACAAACACAGGTCCTATAAGAGAGGCACAGACAGGAGAGAAAGTAATGTGACCACAGAGGCAGAGAATGGAGGGATGCAGCAACCAGAAGCTGGAGGAAACAAGGAACAGATTCTCCTCCAGAGCCTTGGCAGGGAGCTCAGCCCTGCTGATGCCTTGATTTCTGACCTGTGGCCTCTAGCACTCTGAGAGAATGAACTTCTGTTGTTTGAAGTTACTCAGTTTATGGTAATTTGTTACAGCGCCATAGGCATATAATATAGAAACTATAAAGAAAAATAAGAAAGATTGAGGATTGGTCCAAGAGGTCCAACCTCTGAATAATGCTAGTTCTAAAAACAGAGAAGAGAATAGGCCATGAGGAAGAAAAATATCAAAGGAATCACTCTAGAAATTTTCCAGAACAAAAGAGCCCTGCAAAATGAGTCAAAATAAAAAGACCTACATCAAGGGCTCTGGCTGGGTGGCTCATTTGGCTGGACCATCAGTCATCCCATACACCAAAAGGTCTAGGTTTGATTACCAGTCAGTGCACATACCTAAGTTGTCTCTCTCTCTCTTTCTTTCTCTCTCTCTTCCCCCCCTGCAAAATCAATGAAATATTTGGAGATATCAAATCTCTCAATAATGAATATTTTATAGTACGAATTCAACAAACATATCCTCAAGTGATGATTAAAAAAAGAGATCTACCTCAGGAAACTGCAATATGAATTTTCAAAATGTCAGAGGTAAAAAGAAGATTCAACAAATTTCCAAAAAGGAAAGAAACAGGACACATAGAGATTCAGGAGAATCAGATGGCTTTGGGTGTCTCAATGGCAATACAAAATTGGGAAAATGACTGGATGCCTTAAAATTCCAAGGACAAATTTTCTCATTCACTCATTTAACAAATATTGATTGAGTGCCTACTACATGTCAGGTGCTAACCTGGGGACTGGTAATCAGCAGTTAAAAGAAAACAAAACAGCCCTGGCTGGTGTAGCTCAGTGGATTGAGTACTGGTCTGTGAACCAAAGGGCTGCTGGTTTGATTTCCAGTCAGGAAACAAGCCTGGGTTGTAAGCTAGGTCCCCAGTTGGGGGTGAATGAGAAGGAACCACATACTGATGTTTCTCTTCCTTTCTTTCTCTAAAAATAAATATATGAAATCTTTTTTTAAAAAAGTGCCTACACTGAAAGCTGGCAGAGAGTGGAGCAAATGCCATTGTTCCCTCTTGGACCCCGCCCCCACATACAGCACCACAACCCAGCGACATGGGTTACCCCTCCTGGGTGAATACCTAAGGCTGTGCCTCTCATTACATAACAGGCTTGTCAAGACAGACAAACAAACAAAAAAATGGTCCAAACGAAAGAACAGATCAAAGCTCCAGAAAAAATACAACTAAGTGATGAAGAGATAGCCAACCTATCAGATGCACAGTTCAAAACACTGGTAATCAGGATGCTCACAGAACTGGTTGAATTTGGTTGCAAATTAAATGAAAAAATGAAGGCTATGCTAAATGAAATAAAGGAAAATGTACAGGGAACCAATAGTAATGGGAAGGAAACTGGGACTCAAATCAGCAATGTGGACCAGAAGAAAGAAAGAAAAAAAAAACAAACAAAAAAGAATGAAGAAACAAGAATTCAAAAAAATGAGGAGAGGCTTAGGAACCTCCAGGACATCTTTAAACGTTCCAACACCCAAATTATAGGGGTACCAGAAGGGGAAGAGAAAGAGCAACAAGTGAAAAAGTTATTTGAACAAATAATAAAGGAGAACTTTCCTATTCTGGCAAAGGAAATAGACTTCCAGGAAGTCCAGGAAGCTCAGAGAGTCCCAAAGAAGTTGGACCCAAGGAGGAACACACCAAGACACATCATAATTACATTACCCAAGATTAAAGATAAGGAGAGAATCCTAGAAGCAGCAAGAGAAAAGGAGACGGTTACCTACAAAGGAGTTCCCATCAGACTGTCAGCTGATTTCTCAAAAGAGACCTTACAGGCAAGAAAGGGCTGGAAAGAAGTATTCCAAGTCATGAAAGGCAAGGACCTACATCTTAGGTTACTCTATCCAGCAAAGCTTTCATTTAGAATGGAAGGGCAGATAAAGTGCTTCTCAGATAAGGTAAAGTTCAAGGAGTTCATCATCACCAGACCCTTAT